CCCCGCTTCCCTGCCTCCCCTGGAAGCACCCCGGGCAGGGGCCCACGCTGGGCCGTAAGGGAGCGCTGGTTGCTGAACCCGGGGTCCTTTCAGCTCCGGAGACCGAAAAGCGGGAAGAGGCGAAGCGCCGAGGGGCTCGGTGCGCGGTTGGGACGCAGCGCTCCCGCCTGAACTCCGGCCTGCGAGCCCGGGGCAAAGGAGGCTTTGTCTGGGGAACCACGGTTGCCCCGTAGTGCGGAAACACACCTAGGAAAGCTGGCTAGAAAAGATTATTTTTCTCTAATAACCTCTGAAGTCGTTATTACCTCATAAACAGGGAGATGGCTGAAGCTACCAGTTAAGTAGCAGCAATCTGGTACAACTATTCAAATTATTGCTTACATTTGCAGCAATCTGTTCATATGTTAATACAGAGATTTACCAATTTAGCAGTTACTCATCTGGAAAAATGTTCATTAATCTCATATATGTAGGAGAATGCACCCTGTGGTCGTTACACACCTTGTGTCCGTACATGGATCAGCGTTACCCTGATCATTCGCAGAACCTAGAAATGTCATCTTCGCTTTTTCCTTTCTTTTTCCATTTGTAGGTAGCTATGCAGTTACAGTGCAATTTGGCTTGTGAAGAGGAGACTCACCCATTAAGCTTTGATTTTTAAGGCTGACTTACACATCCTGAAAAATGAAAATATTTTAGTGAAAATACTGACAGACCCTTAATTATATAGCTAACTAACACCTACAACACAAAAAGAAGCAGCAACATCCATGAGATGCAATTTGCTATTGGAGTAATTTTGCTCTGCAACAAAATACGTTTTATGACACTGTCTGGGTCTTGAATTAAACAGCAGTTGCGTATTCAGCTATTCTGTATGCCCTGCATCATCGTCAGGAAAAGGCGAGCCACGTTGCTTTGCTTATAGAATAATTTAAATAATAAATTTATTTTTTTTTTTAAAGCACAGTGCTCATTTGAAACTATCTGGGATGGTGCATACCAGGAGCATCATTATTCTGTCCGGTTAGCAGAGATAGCGGGAAGAAGTTGCAGCCTTTAGGATCTCGCTGGGCCCTGAATGTTGCAGATGGCGATCCCGCAGCTGGCTGCGACTTATTCCTGAGACAGATAAACCTGATGCAGAGCCATCTATCTGCCAGCACACTGTACAGCAGCTCTAGAAAGGTGGAAGTGCAGAAGCAAGAATCTGAGTTCCCTGCTTTCCACCACCCTTTGTTTATCTAGGGATTACAAAGTGCCTTTGAAATCGGAACAGTTTGTATGCCTAACTTCAAAAAGAAAGAGAGGTTGGGGAGCTTGGTGCCAAAGGACTTCTCAGCTGTCTCAGAGAGTGGTGGGGTTGCTTTGGCTACGTCCACAGGAAAATTTGCAGACCAAAGAAAAAGATCTTCACTTGCACTTCAGGTTGATTGCAAATTTGCAAATTCGTTTGCAAATACCTAGCTCATCCCACCAGCACAAGGCACTGTGGCTGTACCACCTGTGTGTTGTAGATTATACCCTTGGTATTGCTAGTGAATACCGAAGCTCTGCCACCAAGGTCAACGTGTCAGCTCCCTCCCTGCAAGGGACAGCAGACTGAGCCTACTGATAGTACACAGCTGTTGCTAGAGAGAAAGGAAAAACTGGGAATGGGAACACAACTTTCCAAGCTGCACAGGGAGGATGCAGAGAGTGCTTCCCGCTAACCAGGGCACTTATGCTTTCATCAGGTTCCTAGAGAAAGGTGTCTTTTCATCCAAGCACTGCCAGCAGCATGTCCACTAAACATGCACAAGGAAGCCTGGTATACACTGCAAAAATTAAATCATCTCTGAGCAAGAAAAAAAACACAAACATATCTGTGAATAGCATTGCTTGTAGTGACTGGCTAGCTTTGAGATTGGTCATCTTAACCTAGTATCAGTGTCCTGCCATATAAAGTACAACCCTGTGGTGATTTTCTTGCTTATGGATTTTGTTAACATTTAACCCCACTTTTAAGGGAAGAAACTGAGGCACAGACCCACCATGTATCTTGCCCAATCTCAGAAATGGCAGCTGGGAGCAGCATCCAGGTTTCGTCAATCTTGATTCAGCTTCGGACCAGGCTCTCCCCGTTGCGGTCTCTTTAACAGCTCACAAGAGTTTTAGAAGTCAGGCTATCGAACAGATTAGCATGCTGTTCAAACCCTCCTGATTTTTCAGGGTTTTGTCAGCATTTGGGACAGTGCTGCTTAAGGGCACCTCAAACATTCATTTACTGGACAGGTTTTAATTTGTAATTATTTATACTGCTCTTGGTACATGATGTCTAGGGAAGATTTATTTTTGGATTATGAACCTTTATTAATCATTAAAAAAAAAAACCATTTTCAAATGCCTTCCCTCTAGAAAGGGGAGCCCTCAGCAAACTCAGATGCTTGGTAATGAATGCCCTCTTCTGTTTAAATCCAGCATTGCTGCTGTAGAGGAACACGGCTGCTCAACTGCAGGACTGCAGAATTCTTCCTCAAGACATATTTTGCAAATATCATCTTGCCCTTCTTTCCAAGTGAAAGGAATCATTCTCAGGAGGAACCAGTTGCAGGATCCAGGCAGTCCTCCTGGAGGTGCCTTGGCACGGGCAGGACTGTAATTTCATTTTAAAGATACTCTCGAATATGGTCCCTTTGTTTTCAGCTGTTGACTCATAGATACTCAGCACTCCAATTTCATAGCCAATTTTATTAACAGTGTGATTTTGCTATAAGCTCCATCATTTCTGTCGGAGCTCTGAGACAGACAACACTGGGACCTGTCATTTGTTCCTCTTTCATTTATCATGTGAGAATCCCGTTTCTTCAAGGTCCTCTCCTTTTTCACCTGATTTAAACCTCTTTATCAGAGGAACCGTAGAAAGAGCTGTCCCTTGATTCAATCTGTT